AGACGAGAACGACGACGACGACGACGACGACGAGCGGGGACGAAGGTATTCCGGTTGGTATTTCCGTTAAATACCCGGGAATCGACAAAGCCCGTACCCGCAGCCACCCCTCGAAGCTTCTTTACCCGTCATTTTCTTGCTCGCCCGCTCGGATCTTCTACCCACCCCGGATCCTCACTTCGGTTCCCTCGGCGACGACGAATAAGGGAAGTGCCTTCTCCTCGGCAAAAATGATGCGCGCACGCTCGAACCACCTCCCTCTGCCTCCGGATATTCCACCTCCCCTCCTCTCTCCAACCCTCCCTCCCTCTTTCCTCCATGTTTCTCGCTCCGCTCGCGAGCCACCCTCGCCACCCCTCCGCCACCCCTCTCCTCTCCAGCTTGCACCCTTTGTCGAAGCGACACTTTTTCGTCGCTCTTTTACCGCCATATCCCTGCCACCGCGCGCATTTCTGCCTGATACACAACCCTCCGCACCCTCTCGCCTAAGCTCCGGCCTGTCGGAGCATTTGCAAATTTCATCCCGCTACCAACAACCCCCTACCAACCGCGCCTCGACCCTGCGCGCCTCTCCTTCCAAGAACTGCTTGTTGTCCTCTTTTCGGTCGGCATTCAGTCTTCTTCTTCTTCTTCTTCTTCTTTCTTTCGTCTTCTTTGCACCGTGGTATCGGTACGTGGCGCAGAATCGTCGACAAAGGAACCGTCGAGGAACCGATGATATTTCCGCGGGAAAGCGCGATCGAGGCTCGTTGGAATTTCGCATGGAATCCCATCCATTCTCGTCTTCTTCTTCTTTCGTCGCGGTTTCCGGGTAAAATATCGCTTTCCCGAAGATCGTCAGAAGTTTTTTGGAAAGGTTGATCGGATTTCGAAAGTAAAGAAAGTCGAGTGATTCGGAATCTTTCGTAACGAATCGCGTAAAATGAATCACATAAAGTTGCGTGTAATAATATGAATATATAAATAATATGAATTAATCAGATTCGTGTTGCGATTGGATTCATCCATTAAAAACTCGTATATAATTTTCCCAACGATTTCTATTCTCTTCAATTTTTTTTATAATAACGAATGATCTTCAATCGACGCTTCAATGGGATAAATCGATGTGGGAAAAAAGTAAGGGACACAAGGGGTAGGCGCGCGAAGTGGTCAGTTATTTGCTCGGTCGCATAAGCGCGTTGGAAACGCGAAAGCTGCGCCGCAGTTGACCGACCGTTTAGTTGGCTTGCAACGTAGTGCAAACTTTTTAGTTGCCCAACTAACTAGTTGAATGCATGCGCGGTTTCACGCGCGCACACACTCACTCTCTCTCTCTCTCTCTCTCCCTCTCCCTCTCTTTCGCTTCATTCTCAAACCAACTGAACAGTTAACCAACTAAAAGTTGATGGTGTTTGCAAAGCCTGAGCAAACGCGCGTTCGTCCAACGCCTCGGAATAGATTCTCTAAATGGGAACTTGGATTGGAGGGCGAGGGAAAAAGCGATTTTCTCATCGAGAGAGATACGACGGAGGGATTTTATCACGTTGGAGAGTGTATCGTGGATTTTCTTATGGATAGTAAAATAAGAGTCTTATCGCGATCCTTGCTACGAACACGACCTACGTGGAGCGTAAGGGAACTGTGGCGGAGAAGTGATTTAAATTTTCCTTGAGAAAGATCTTTCTCAAGGATTGCGGAGACAACTTTTTCTCGATGTAAATTGTCGAGAATCGGGCGTAGTGATACGTGAACGCCTAAGATCGAGCGGAATGGAAATTGCGTAAGAAATCCAAATATGAATTTAGGGATATGACGATACGGCGAATTTATGCGATTGCCATGATATTTGTTCGATATTTTACAATCCGTTTCTTCATAATATTTATCATAGTGGATGTAATAATTCTATTGCATTATGCAACTATCCTGGATATAATAATAAAATATATACTGCATAAATATTACTCAACTGTGTATCCCGAACAACCTCTTCCGCAAAAACAAAAAAGTTTCAAAACTTTAAAAGAATTAAATCGCGTCAAACCTCCATTTTTTCCCCAATTTCAACTCGATTCTCAACTTGATCCAAAAAAATTAAATTGTCTCCTCCTCCTCCGCCACGAATCTCGATATTCCAAGCAAACGAGCTTCCCTCGATCGACTTCCTCCATTTCCATTTCGTCCTCTCCTCAGGAACAGACGCGAGACACGACAACGTTCGTTGCTCGATCAACGAAACTGTCGCGTTTTCTCGCGGCAACGCGAGATTTACTTCGCAATTGCGCCCTCGCGTGATCGCGCCCAGGGACGATTCGCGTGAAACGTCATCGACAGGCAACGTCGGTTTTACGACGTCGATTAACAGACGAGCGTGTCCGCCGTTTATCTTCCACCCGTTCGACCGGACACGTTCCTCGAAACGAGCGAAAACTACGGCGGAAGCGAGATTGAGAGCAGCAGCCCCGTATCGGCCGCGCGATTCCATTGGGAGAAGCTAATCCGGTTATTGGACGTTCCTGCAACCCCCTCCCCCTCGAGAGAGAAAACTTTCCTCTCCGGACGATTCTGTCCTTCTCCTTTCCTCGATCGAGCGGCTTCGGTTCGAGCAGGTTGAAAAAGGGGTTCTTCGTATTTCCTCCTCGGGAGACGAGTTAGGGTGGGATGTTAATTGAATGAGAATCGATTAGATGGGAGATTTCCTAGAGCGTTTTCCGAGAGAGAGAGAGAGAGAGAGAGAGAAAGAGAGTATGGAAGGAAATTAAGGTATTTGGGTATTTTGGATCGTTTTAAGATCTCTTCCCATTTCTCCTCGAGGAATCGAAGATGAGGGGATACAAAAAAGAAAGTTTCGAATTACGAATATAGGAGGAAGAAGAAAACAAGAGATTCATAAGTAAAATGATTTCTTAATAACATTCGTACAAATTCGAATGGATGGGGTGGAAACTCGTCATCGATCGTCGTAATTCCCCTCCGTGTCCTTCCTCTGTCTATCCTCTCCAAAATACATCCACTCTGCGCATTGTCGTTCCGTAAAAAAAAAAAAAAAAAAAAAAAAAAAAAAAGGAAAAAAGAAAAAGAAAACGTCACACGAACACACACCACGGATCCTCGCAATGCGAGAAACGCATTTTCGCGTGTGCACGAAGTCGGGATAGAAGGCGGGAAGAAAAGTCGACAAAGAGGAAGAGGATTGTGGATGTGTACCTACATGCACACGAAAACGTGGAGATTGTGAAGAAACACATGGGCCCTGAAGATAGAGAGAGAGAAGGGGGGAGGGGATTGAGGGTGAGGAGACTTGAGAAGGTAGGAGCAAAGCTTTCATCGTAATGAAGTATTTCTGCCTGATTCTCGTAGCCTGTCTTTCTATCTAACTCTCTCTCTCTCTCTCTCTCTCTTCCTCCCTTTCTCCTCCTCGTCCATCCATCGTTCTTTCGCGTGCGTTAAAGAAACGACTTGTCGGTTTTGCGTACTCATCGACGTTAAAGCGGAGCCGAGAGGGGAAGGGAGAGAGAGAAAGAGAGAGAGAGAGAGAGAAAGAGAGTGAATATTCATCCTCCCGCGCCAGGCGAAGGACAACCCTATTTAACCCTTGGAGGCCGTGGAACGAGCGTTTTCTACGAGCTACCCTCCCTGACGAGGCCGAGAACCCCCGGTTCCCCTTCGACGAGGAGGAGGAGGAGGAGGAGGAGGTGGAATCCTCTGACGGGCTCAAATTGCTTCGGCGTTTTGTGGCTTATCTGGTTAAACGAGGGAGACGAGGCTTCTTCTTTACTGGCCTCCGGTTTGTTTTATTCTTTCTTTTTTTTCTTCTTCTTTTTCGTTTATCGTTTTCAGCGATATGATAAACGGATGGTTGGAGAAAAATCGGGATTTCGTTTCAGTTTTCTGAGATGAGGCTAACGAGA